CTTAAATGCCCACATCATTCGCAAAACAAATGGAAGTTTTGTTATATCATTGTTAGAAATATTTAGTGATCCAATTTTCCTAACAATGTAGAAGGGCCTAATGTACTCCATTTCAAATAAATCTTGTGTATACCCGTAACAGTGTGAGCCATACACACATAGACTCGATTTTGGTATTTTATAACCTGATTCCCGTTTTTCTTTTTTAGAAATGTGCAACATGTCTCGCATTTCCCTTAGTAATTTATATAAATCTTCTGCTGTCTTCCGCCTATCTTGATTTTGTGGTGCATAAGAAATTTCTAATATAAAACACTCCCGTCCATCATCCGATAGTCCTATCCCATCTCCCTTATGTCCTGTCGCAACTTTTGGAAGTGAAAGAATATCCTGACCATTATCTTTTCTGGTTGCTGTTGTATTTAACTCAATTTCTCCCCATGTGTAATCAATATTTCCACGTATTGCATTTCCAATGATAAAGCTCATGATTGTGCTCCACATGGATTCCGTAGTTATAGGATGTGCAATTACATTTCTTTTACTTGTGAATTCTCTGATAAAAATATGTATTACTATCAAAGAATATTGTTCAAATTCGGTAATGTCGTTATCACCTATATTTGCCCACGCTTGTGCATATTTTTGATATAAAGTTTGATTATCATTTTCGACCTTTTTAAATACGGGATTTATTCTTTCTAATAAGCTTTCTTCTACTAGTTGTAATTGTAAACCTTGAATTTCTTTCCAACATTCTTTTGAACATAAAGATTTAAGTACGTTATTCTGGTATGTTTTTACAATACGATCATGTTCTACACTAAATTGATTCAAATCAATTTTAAGCAAGTATTTATTCCATACTTCGTTGAAGTCGTCACCGCATTTAAGGATACATGACTTTGTTGGAGAATCTTGCGTAAATGAACCAGAAAAAAATCTATCTATGGCATCCTTTTCAGGATGATCTTCGGAAGAGAAGGGAGATAAACTTTCATATGAATGCAAAGAAGAATTTTCTTCAGTGCTTTCGTTACTGTTATCATCTTGGCTATCCTGTTCATATTACAATAAGTAATTAATTAAAATTTTGATAAAACCCAGTAATAATAAAACCAAATAACAATCATCACCTTATAAGTTCGGATACGTTTTGCAGCATTTTCATTGTCAGCAGCATTAAGGAATCTCTTTGTGGTCGACTCGGCGTATTGTTCCGTCGTCACCGAGGCAATTGTAATGTGCTGAGTCGCCAGTATAAGGGAAATGGATAAGAGTAAACGGTTTGATTTTATCATTTTAAATCGGAAAAAGAAATAAGTATAGTACCTGTAAATTCTGAACTTTCACATTTGATTCTTCTTGCAACCTTTCCTTTGCCTCAATATTATTTCTTTCGGCTACAAGTTTCCAAAAATTTTTTATAGCTAAAGATCGTTTACTATCCTTTAAGTTGATAAAACAGAAATTTCATTTGAAAAAATTTTCTTATTACATATAAACAAGAACTGGAGACATCACGAACAAACTCACATCTCGCGAGCATCATGATTCCCAAAATCCATTAAGCATAACTCATCAACAAACATGACAGTCTTTCCCACTACAACCATGACAGATTGCAGGGTAGTTGGTGT